CAAATGGCGTCATACGCTAATTCCTTGAATGGAACCCATGTGCGAATCGGCGAATTGGCCTAAAAGGTGGCATGGAGACGATCATGTGAAGAGGAAATGAAAGCTTATGGGTATTCATGTAACCACCTGAAAGTGATAGGAGGGGATGGAGATGTGTAGCTGAGGCCTTATGTCCCACTCGGAAGGCGCAAGTAATAGACAGTAAAAATATCGTGTAACCCAAGCTTGTTCATACTGAAGCATGATCCAATTCCCCATCATATTTTTCTTTCATTCGTTCAGCGAATGGACAACGATAGGTTGGAAACTAAGAGCGCACGCGATTTTACGTCACGATCCACAGACATAATTTAATAATTAAAGCAGTAAGAAGTTGAGAAGAGTTGGTGGATTGCGTTGTATGAAAGTTTAGGTAACTTAGTGTTTTAATTATGCCGCCTACGCACCGAAGTACTATAACGACAGTACCAAAGAGGCTTTGGTTAATATAGCTGCATATCCATCACTAAAATTATGTCGGGTGTACTACAATGCCAAACCCAGTATGTTCTCCACTGACACCATTTCGGAGATGGGGTATTAAATCGTTCCATTCAGCTTTGAACAAGTGCAGTTACTGCTACAGCAGCAGTATGAAGCATCTCAGATGTAACTGATTGAAGGTCTTACTAAATTACCTTTGCAGTCCTCCCTATACTTATAAAACTGATTCTGTCCTAAAGTCATTTGCGGCATAGCTATTGGAATCACTCATGATTTGTTAGGTTTGAAGTGGAATTGGTCGATGTGAACATTGTAGCAAAATTTCTTATTCTGCTTCACACACTTCGATCTAGCGAATAAGTATGTGCATTTTATTTTGCAGTGATACTGACGGAATTCTGTGTAAAATATTTGGATAACAGGCGTCTTCATTCAAATCCCGTTGTTTTATTTAATACAAGAAGCCTTGTGACAGTCTTGTTTTTTTGACAAAGTTAATCGTGCATGTGAGAATTTCTATTTGGGTTCATTTACCAAAAATCAATGTGAAAGTGCCAGAAACATAATATAGGAGAAGGATTTTTCAGGCCTGTCCTTGATAAAAGTCATTCAAATTGATGCCCACTTTCAGGAAAGTACTAAGACAACTTTCGATGTTTCCAATATACATGTCTTGAGTAGAAGGAAATATGTTGAGTAACTTTTAAATAACCATCTTATTTTACCTTAGCTCGATGTTGACTTAAAAATAACGTTAATCTCTCGAACAACCTGCCATTCTGTTGAATAACCTCGAGTTTCCAATAGATGTCATTTTGCTAAAAAGTGCTTCTGAAAAACTAGCTGGTGAAATTATTGGTGACGTTAAATTTATGTCAAAGAATTTAGAAGATTTATGTCACCTTACGACTTGTCGTGATCTTTTCGGTATAGATTGGATCAATAAGCTATGCCTTTGGGAAATATCACTGAATTAAGTTTGTTCACAAGCATGTGATTCACCTCAAACACCTGTTGATGGACGTGTAAATAACCTGTGTTCTACGCGACTGCAGAAGTTCATTGGTGGAATTACAGTAAGAGGTAATAAGAAGATCTCAAAGAGTACAAAGAACCCAAATCCAATATATTTTCTCAGAGACTGCATATATAACCATAGATAGCCAAAGTAGTATTGGAAAGCTCTTAGTCGCAATCATATTTATCTTAACTCTAAATCTCCTTAACTTTGAACCACACTGATTCCATTTTTTCATGTGTCCCAGAACTGGAGAGAAACATAGCACAACAATCTTCTGCGTTATGTGAATTGTCAAGTGGTGAACTCCAAGCTTTCACTTAGTATACGAGTATAGTTATGCAGATGCCCACAAAAGCCGTCCCTTAAAACCTGTTAAGTAGCCTAAAAGCCACTGAAATACGACGCAAATTTCCGGAAAATCCTGCTAAATTTGTGTTCAATCATTCTTCAATAACTTTATCTTCTATTTAAATCGAGGCCTTTTCTGTCGGGGCGAAATTCTGCGACATGAACAAAAAAATTAGCTGGCTCCATACATATGTAGAATGCCAAAATTTGATCAATCAGACTAGTGATCTTTTCCCAGTCTCTGAGGAGGAGTTCAAACGTTTCAAGTCAACAATTCTATACTCATGCCATCAGTATCTCAATACAAAGTCTAAGCACAATAATCTATCGACTAAAGAACACAGAGAACAGCTCAACCAAATGAGACGTAAGAAGGAATTGTTGATCACACCCCCTGATTAAGTTACTGGCATAATCCTAATGGATAGAAAGGACTATATTGATAAAAATGCTAGCAATTCTTTTAGACAACAACAAGTTCGCTGCACATGACAGAGAGAAAGACAAAACAGAAATAACAGAAATGCATTTGACTGGGATATTGAGAAAGCCAAAAAGTGGTCAGCTTATCTCTGAAAAAGGTCAACGAGAGTATTTGACCAACCGATTCAGTAATACCCCGACTATATGGGTTGCCCAAAACCTACAAACAGGGACTTCCGTTGCGCCCTATTTTGGGCATGTCCGGTTGCAAAATGACTGGCAGAACTCCTACAGCCTATTAGAGAACAAATTTCAAAATGCTGTCTTAGAGACATGTTTGAATTCGTTGACTGTATCAAAGATGTGGAAGCGAGTGACAGTCGCATGATATCACTCGATGTCGAATCTCTCTTCACAAATATCCTGGTTACGAAAACGATTTGCTTCTTATGCATGTCCTCGAAAGACACCGATTTGTATATTGGAATACACACACGAAAATTAAAAGAACTTCTACTTAGATGCATTTTGAACGTACAATTCATATTCACTGGTACTATTTATAGACAACAAGATGGTGTGGCTATGGATTCACCCTAAGGCCCGTAACTTGCAGATGTTTTCATGGCAAGTTTGGAAAATGGTCCGTTGAAACCGACAATCGACAAATTCTCTTTGTACAAAAGGTACGTCTATGACACTTTTATTACTGTGATAACAAATGTGACCTGAATAGTGTCCTTGAAGTTCTTAAAAGCTGCCACCCAGCCATCAAATTTACAATTGAAGCAGAAACTGGAGAGATAATATCATTTCTGGACATCCGACTAACAAAGAGGACTGAAGGGACCCTAAAGAGATCAATATATTGGAAGCCCACTTGGAACAGCCAGCTGACAAACTTTTAAAGTTGGGTACTCATCAGTCGCAAGTGGAACCTAATAATATCTCTGGAGACTAGAATCCGAAGAATCTGTAGCCCTGAATCAATAGAAGGAGACATCAGTCTGTTGCAGAAGATAATACATGAGAATGGCTATCCCTTCATAGATAAACACATAAGGCCCAAAACCAACGGAGAACAGCCCATATCTATTCTGAAGAAGATGTTATACATGAATATCGCATTCAGAGGCGACCTTAAAGAGAAGAGTATCCAACACCCTGAAAAGAACATTCCCTGCTACTACACTACGATTAGTATTCTCAAGCCGCTTATTGTTCTTCAACAACTCCAAAGATGAACTATTTCATTTGACCACTTCTATCTGTATCCACCAGTTTATTTGCCATGTGGAGCGAGATATATAGGTCGTTCAATGTGTGTTTTATCCAAAACAGTCAAAGAACATCATCCCGCTTGGCTACGAAAGGGTGCTATAATTGAACATATAGTCAACACTGGTCACTCAGTAGGCACAGAGAATTCATTCAAAGTCATCTACAAAGGGAGAAGAAGCCTCCCGAAAACTGCAAGCTTCTGTATACTTTGCATTGCCGGGGCCTTAGCGATTCAGATAGAAAACCCTGATTTATGCACACAGAAGAAAATTCTCCACCCCCTACTTCTACCTTGAGCGTAATTCCAAGTTCTATGACATTGTAAATGTTCTGTTTTCTCCTTTTTTGTTTTTTAAATATTTGTATAGCATCTTAGTAACATCTTAACCAACCCCTTATTAACTCTTTATTACGTAATTTGTTTTTTGGACAAGTGTCTCCATTAACATCCTATTTGATATTACGCAACCCTTGTAAACACTTATCAATCTTCACCCCCCTAGTTACAATTTTGATTATTCATCACATTTTAGAAACATTTTGATGACGTAAACAGTAACCCTAACTAGTTTTTATTTTATTTTTATTTGACAATCCTAATGTACACACACACACACACACACAAATTAATTATGTATAAATGCGATTGTACAGTGCAGGAAATGAATTCGCCGAAAAGAAACTCTTTGCTGAACTTTGTTGTTCTTACATTCATATATGGATGGGTATTCTCGGTGAATATTGACAGTTCATAACAAGGCAGAAAGAGAGTAAGATTGTACAATGCGCCTTATATGATGGAATAGTATCGGTAGCTGGTAATTGTGCAATACAATGACAGAAAACACGCTGTACTTGAAATTCCTACCTGGTAACTGTGAATTATAAGTTTTAGTTATAGTTGTGTATTACAAGGCTGGTAATTACTCAAGAATTTCTCTCGTAAGAGGTATTGACCATCGATAATTTAGTCATGATAACTGTCGCTGAAAGTATTACTTAAAATTAGGCGAAAGTATTATGAAAACTTAGACTGATCTTTGCTTATTAATTACCAAAAAGGTGTGGAAATAACACAACACCGAAAGTCTTTGTTGAGGTAAATACACATATCCATAATCGGAAATGTACAATCACATTATAATAAAAGTAAGATGTACGAAGAAAATCTGGTGGTCGATGATAGAAAGACTTATTTTTATAGGAGGACCCATACAACTGACTGAAAAAGCAGACATTAACTGCATGAATTGGAAACAAAGTAAAAAATTGATTGAAAAGCCTTGATCGACTCAATGAAACATAATTTGTGAATATTTCCTTACACTCAAGTAACAACATTAGATACAAAAATGACAAAGAAAAATCACAAGAAACAAAATAATCTGCAAGTTCATTCAATTTACAAATAAGTTTTCCAACCGCAATACATTCATGATAAATTTCAATGATCTATAGCTGGGCGAACTAGTGAGCCAACATGGGCAGCAACATCGAGTTGATCAAGTCCACCAGCAATACCACTACCACCTGCACAATTAATGGAAGTTTCATTTGAATTAGCAACTGAATTCCCACTAACAAAACCTTGAAGTCTACTTCTAACGCTAAGGAGGACACGTTCAGCAAGTTGATCAACTGGTCTACAACAACAGCGACAAGGAAAATAACAACAAGAGGAAAATTAAAATAGACATTAAGTTATAATTTTACAGTTTATGATTATTTGATAATTCCAGTAATCCTAGGTGTATGACATCATAATCAAACGGACTTATTGTGAAACAAGATGATTTCATTTTAATAAGGATTGATCATTAAAAGAGCTTCATTTAAATCAGCAGGACGTCGGAAATGACTTGTCAGTGTAATAACATTATAGACAAAGTTCCGCCTAGAGGGAGACAAACATCATTTAGACTTAATGACATCATTAATATAGAGAGAAATCATTGCAATATAGTGTGTACTGAAAGATACGCGTAACACATGTATGCGTGGGTGTGGACCAGTACAAAAATGCATGTGTGTGTGTGTGTATTTTCATGCCTTTTACTCAGAGTCTAAGAGCGTATTCAGTAAACCATATTGCAGTAAAAAGAAATTGAAATGAACTAACAGCTGATAGGCAGTTTAGTAGAAAATACCCAAAAGAATACGATAGTACAATAATTGATCTCTATATTTTAAAGACAGCAAAGGAGGCTTGAATTATACGCATACAAATCAACGAAACAATTAATTGGGAGAAAGAAACATTTTTTTAATGTACTTACATCACTTTGTGACTAATATAAGAGTAAAAGTTGAACAGTCTGGTGGAGCATAATTCTATTTTAGCTTTTGTTTACTTGATGTGGTTTGCAGCGACACAATATCATTCACTGGATGACGTTTCAAGCAAAAAAATGTTTGATCTGATTGTGGGCAATACATTCTGCTCGCAACATCATCCAGTAAATAATACCATAAATATTACCTTAGCAAGAATAAAATACCAAAACAGTTTAAATGTTAATGTGTCACGTTAGTCGTACAAATAAATAATCCCGAAGAGTGCCAAACTCGAACAAAGCAGATTTTCAATGCTTTCCACTGATGAATAAGACATAAAAATGTGTATATAAATTTACATGTGTTTGTGGAAGCAAATACATTAGGCATATGGAGAGATGTCTGTCAGCTTGCGTTGTTGGACGCTGCCCAAAACAGCTTTCTACTACTCACCATGGTATCCTAAGGAGCCCAAACACAATACATTTATTGGACTGTGATCATACGATGACGCTGAGTAAAAGCTTGATAGTTATTAATGAGCAGGGTAAGAAAAAAGTTCTTAGCTTTGCTGAAGTCTGTGAATTTAAATTAAAGAATGCCGGATCTAGCTTATGTCTAACTTGCCGGTATACATTTATTTGACTTTTATAATTTTCCTTCTCTTCTCCCTTCCACTTACAATATTATTTCCCTTGTTAAAATGAATATTTTATTTTGATAAATCACACAGTGTTATACAGTTACATTAGCTGATGACGTTTCGAGCACAAACTATTGCTCATAATCATATCAAGGCAATCACACAACTTTTTACTTCATTTATATACATAGGTGAAATTGATTAGACATTTAAATAAAAATCAATATAAAATCGTGTACATTCAGAAATAATATTAGTGTTATCAATCAAATACAATAAGATGGAATATAAGATGTTTTTATAGTCAAAATAAGTAACTTGTCAGAATGTTATGATGTACGTGAATTGAAATACAATTTTAAGATTATTTATTATCCTCCTCTGATTTGACTGGTGGTAATAATATCTCCCATATCTCTGGTATTTGCATTGAGTCATTTCCGTCGCATTTGTTGGGTATAGACTCAATGAACCAGGATTCAGTAGTCAATCTCTTTCTCCATCCACCTATATTACTTCTCAGAATTTTAACACTCTCCCACCCTATTTTGTAGTTGTGTTAATGTATCCAGTGCAATCCCTTAGCTTCTTTCTAAATTACTTATCTTCTTGGGGTCGACCATCCTTACCTTAGCTAAATTCTTATGTTCTGAGAATCTCAGTACTACCGTTCTACTGGTGTGACCTATGTAGGTGACCTAACTCACAGTATTTTGTAAAATATATTGTTCTGTTTAATTGGGTCCACTGCGTCCTTTAGTCTATAGAGCTTGTAGGTTTGAGTGCCTTATTGCTTTGAATGCTTTATTGAGAATCCTACGTAGGGTCTCAGATGTTCCCTCCTTATATGATGAAACTGTAGATGCCCTATATTCCTTCTTATTTATGTTACCATTATTAGCTTCACCATTACTTTTATTTTTCTTTTGAGCTTTCTTGATCTTCCTAATGAATTTTATAGAATGGTTAGTTATTTAACACCAACGCCTCTTCTATCTGTTTCATTTCATCGTTTAGGTTTTTTGTTGTATTACTTAGTGCTATTGCTCGGTTTGTTAGACGCTTAACTAGGTCTGCTTTTACAGACAACGGATGAGATGAATTAAAGTCTGAATATCTACTAGAATCCGTTGGCTTTTTATAAACGCTTGTGTGCAGTTTATCTTCTTCTGTTCGTTTTATTTTGCATTCTAACATAGCTATCTCTCCTTGTTCATTTTCCGATTCAAATGTGAATTTTATTCCCATTACTAGTGAGTTTATATGTGGGAAGGAACTGGAGGTATGTTCTGTCTTCAGCACTGTGAAAGTGTTATCCACATATCTCCACCATATTTTTGGAGTAGGGTTAAATGTATTTAGAGCAATATTTTCCCAGCTGTCCGTAAAGATTTCTGCAACGACGCATGTAATAGAAATGACTCAATGCAAATACCAGAGATATGGAAGATATAAGTATAAAACTTGGGCACTGTGGTAGAGTGTAACTCCATTATGGATAAGATTTTATTTTGATAAATCACACAGTGTTACACAGTAATATATACACAGTAACTTGATATGATTACGAACAATAATTTGTGCTCGAAACGTCACTAGTTAATATTACTGTGTAACACTGTGTGATTTATCAAAATAAAATCTTATCCATAATGGAGTTACACTCTACCACAGTGCCCAAGTTTTATACTTATATCTTCCATATCTCTGGTATTTGCATTGAGTCATTTCTATTACATGCGTCGTTGCAGAAATCTTTACGGACAGCTGGGAAAATATTGCTCTAAATACATTTAACCCTACTCCAAAAATATGGTGGAGATATGTGGATAACACTTTCACAGTGCTGAAGACAGAACATACCTCCAGTTCCTTCCCACATATAAACTCACTAGTAATGGGAATAAAATTCACATTTGAATCGGAAAATGAACAAGGAGAGATAGCTATGTTAGAATGCAAAATAAAACGAACAGAAGAAGATAAACTGCACACAAGCGTTTATAAAAAGCCAACGGATTCTAGTAGATATTCAGACTTTAATTCATCTCATCCGTTGTCTGTAAAAGCAGACCTAGTTAAGCGTCTAACAAACCGAGCAATAGCACTAAGTAATACAACAAAAAACCTAAACGATGAAATGAAACAGATAGAAGAGGCGTTGGTGTTAAATAACTAACCATTCTATAAAATTCATTAGGAAGATCAAGAAAGCTCAAAAGAAAAATAAAAGTAATGGTGAAGCTAATAATGGTAACATAAATAAGAAGGAATATAGGGCATCTACAGTTTCATCATATAAGGAGGGAACATCTGAGACCCTACGTAGGATTCTCAATAAAGCATTCAAAGCAATAAGGCACTCAAACCTACAAGCTCTATAGACTAAAGGACGCAGTGGACCCAATTAAACAGAACAATATATTTTACAAAATACTGTGAGTTAGGTCACCTACATAGGTCACACCAGTAGAACGGTAGTACTGAGATTCTCAGAACATAAGAATTTAGCTAAGGTAAGGATGGTCGACCCCAAGAAGATAAGTAATTTAGAAAGAAGCTAAGGGATTGCACTGGATACATTAACACAACTACAAAATAGGGTGGGAGAGTGTTAAAATTCTGAGAAGTAATATAGGTGGATGGAGAAAGAGATTGACTACTGAATCCTGTTCCGTTGAGTCTATACCCAACAAATGCGACGGAAATGACTCAATGCAAATACCAGAGATATGGGAGATATTATTACCACCAGTCAAATCAGAGGAGGATAATAAATAATCTTAAAATTGTATTTCAATTCACGTACATCATAACATTCTGACAAGTTACTTATTTTGACTATAAAAACATCTTATATTCCATCTTATTGTATTTGATTGATAACACTAATATTATTTCTGAATGTACACGATTTTATATTGATTTTTATTTAAATGTCTAATCAATTTCACTTATGTATATAAATGAAGTAAAAAGTTGTGTGATTGCCTTGATATGATTATGAGCAATAGTTTGTGCTCGAAACGTCATCAGCTAATGTAACTGTATAACACTGTGTGATTTATCAAAATAAAATCCTATCTATGATGGAGTTGCACTCTACAACAGTGCCCTAGTGTGGTGAGAGCTGTCTACTAGCCAAATTGGTAGACAGTAATTTACGTCAATATTTACGTTCCCAAGATTTGTCGTGAGAAAATATGAACAAAGATTGATTCAAAACTGACCACGGCAGACTTTGCGTAGGCGGATACAGTTAACATATAGATGATGTGACATTCAAGAAACAGTCACAAATAGATGAAAGATTAACTTTAAGTGAGAAACAACCAATCAGAAGGCTGTGTTGTTTACTTAACTAATCTATAGTAAGGTACATGAAAATACATAAATATGCTTTGATTTCCTTAATAAAGGATCTGTTGCCTGGCCCTTGTCTTCTGTTGTTACACTACTACCTTATGAAATACATTAAAATGTTGTTATTTAGTCGTATATAGTCTACGTATATTAAATTAATTTGTGTTTTTTACGCAGTACCATCAAATCTAGATATTTATGACTAATTCCACCACAATGGCTCTAGGTTATATGTTAATATGTAGTACTTTGATGAATGTTATTCACTTTATAATGACGTTGACAAATAATCACTCACCACTCATGGAAAATGTATTTATTGAAATTGATCCTTATTTGTCAAAACAATGTTCATATGTTCTT